GCTCATTATTTTTTTCCTCTAAGTTTAAATAACTATAATAACTTAAATTAGTCAACTAAATTTATTTAAATAGATATGCAGATAAGAAGTATGCAGCAGTTAAAATGCTTTTAAAAAGCAAAGACTCCTGGCAGCTTAAAATAGAGGAAGTACACAGAATGATAGAACTTCTTAATTTATTCATACATATCTAATTTTTGAATATCAAACATAACTAATAATTTATTATTTTATACATACCAGAAAAGGGAGTATTGTATTTTTCTCAAGAAAAGTTTGCAGTTTATAATATCAATCATTCACATGTTCTTTTAGAAGAAAATTGTTACTGATTTGTTGTTAAAATAGCAGAAGTCATTACAAAATAGTTTACCAAAGTGATGAAAAGATCAGAAACTACTTTTACAGAAGATAGTCCCTCAATAAATATTTTAACAGGGGTGAATATATTTAATTCTGTCAATTTCTACTATGCATGAGTTATGAAGAACTATACAAAGCCATGCTAAATGGATAGAAGGATGGCTACTTACCAACAGGGCGAGCTGTAGACATTACAATGGTGTGGTGAGAACATAAAAAAGAAATTAAAAGAAAAGAAAATTATCAGAATGCATGATGTGTAATGTTACATTTAAGTATGGATAGTAGAATGATTTCTAGACATTATTAAGTATGAACAGAATGTCTGATTTTGATAAAACTGAATGTTATAATATAATTCTAAGAAAGTAATTTTTTTGCATGCCATGATTAACTAAAAGCAATTAGAGAGATTTTATATAAAGTCATATTTTCACCACAACTATAGTTACAATTTCAATGATATTTTTAGAGTTAAAAATCCTTTTAGTACTATAAAGTAAAGAATCCGATGAATATAACTATTCAAGTCACAGACTAGCAAATGTCATGTCAATAAAAGAAGGCCTCACTGTCTGATTTAAATAGCAACTGGATTTTAAGCATGGTTAGTCAGAACCATTACAGGACTACAGAAAAGCCCAGGACACTGCTTTTCAGCCAGTAATAAGTTAAGATCACATCACTTTTCATCCATGGACAGGGCAGATGAAAATATAACAAATAAGTTGGAACATCTTTAGAGATTTCAGCTGAGTAGCTCCCTAACTACTGTTAAGCTTTTTCTTATTTTGGTAAAGGGCAGGAAACAATGACATAAGTTGATTCTTGTTCACACTGAAAATGGTTTTCAAACTGGTGCTTCAATAAATTATTTTGATTATACTGTAACTTTCAATTACTAAAATCAGTGATAATAGGTTGCCTCTATTATTAATGCACAGAAATTATAAGAGACACACATGAGCTTAATAACATTTAAAAAATGAATAATGCTAAGTCAACCTAGATAGTAAACCACTTTATATAAAAAGCAATATAAAGTATACCAAATACAGAAAATATGGTACCATTTTTTAAATGAAGAAGAAATATATATATATATAATAGCATTTAAACTTTTACAAAATCATACATTACAATTACACATTTATTAGACAAGCATGTCACCTATATCCTAGTGAATAAAGCTCTAAGTATATGAAATGTGACTCTAGAACTGTTGGCTAGTTTCATTATGATGATGTTTCATGGGGCATGCTGAGATATGTATGGCCTCTCAAACCATGCTTATAGACACTCATTCACTCAACACACACATTATATACTAATGTTGTGCAATCTCTGAGCTTTTATGTGAGATTCCCTATAGTTCTTTTATGTGAGATCCCTGGTTTTGTAATATTCACAATTAAAAGGGGAGATTAAGACAATTCAAACAAAAACTAAGTAATTATAGTAGCATGAAAATTCTAGCTTAGTGAAACTCTAGTGTGTTCCATTGTCTATGATGGATTTACTATAGTAACAGGAACAGAAAGAGGTACAATTTCTTTTTGTTTTTGTTGTCGTAGGGGACACATGAAAATAATAATCAAGAATAAGACAACAGACTAACATCATAAAGTTGTGGCTTATTCTCACTGACAAGATTTCTATTAATTTTGCCATTGACTGATAGAAAAATAACTGTCTTTCATTTTTAAATTTGCATTTTTCAGGTGCTATCCTAAGTTGAATTTCAAACATAATGTTTCCTTTACATAGAAACAAAACAGCATTTTGATTCTATGCTATTAACAGTGATAAAGAAGAAACCATGGTGAGAAATCGTTTTGTTTTGTTGTTTTTTAAGAAACAAAGACCACATTTATTTTTCACTTAGTCTGGGCAAGTTTCAAAAAAATTAAGGAATTACTGCCCTACAAGCAAGATGGGTATTCCAATGAAGTCTTCATTTATGAAAAGCCAATTGAAAAATGGGGAAACATTGTGTTTACAAATATGCAGTTTAACACATTTCGTAGCTAATTTTAAAAGTATTGTTAAATCATGAATTATTTTATTAGAATATAAATGCTAGGAGGTTTGTTGTCCACCATCACTTCTTTCAAATTTTCTGTTTGTCAAGTCAGCAAAAGCCACTTCTTGCTGTAAAGTTAAATTGTATAGACTATTTTCACCATATTTTTGAAATGGAAAACCAACAGCTGAGTAAATCGCTTTTTCAGATTTTGATTATAAAATTTATTTTCCTTTACCCCATTTGGCTAAAGTGAACATTGTGGTAAAATTTTAACAGAAACATTACAATAAAATCTCTTGTCTTTGTTACATAACAGCATTTAATTCCGGAAAAACAAAACAAAACAAAACCCCAGCAGGTGAATGTTGTCAAAATCAGCAAATAAAGTAAACTGTGTCCCTGCATTAAATTGATGAAAATAGATGTGGCCTATTGCATCAGAGTTGACCCTGTTCTAATAAAACAATCAAAGGAGGGACTGAATATTTCATTTATGTGCCTAGAAAAATGAGCGCAGAAAAAAAAATGTCATACATACTATTTTTTTTCTGTTAACCTCTTAACATGAGTAATCACAATTGCTTTTCTTAATGATAAGAATATTTCAACAATATTTTATTCTACTTTCTATTGTATTATGGAGATTTTTTCTATGGCCAGTTTAAGGATTCAGTGTTGAATGAGTAACAAATATTCACCACACAGATTAAACTGTCTATTCCATTCATAAGACACAGACTAGGGAAGATAACTTTTAAGGTTTGATGATTTTCTTAAAATCTTATTAAAAATAAACAACTCTTTCTATTAGTTTTGTAAGCTAGCTTTAAATGTCCATGCTTTGTTAAATAAAATGTTAAACCTGAAACTTTCTACAAATTATGAAAGCAATTAGCTGGGAAAGATCTTAAAGCAAACAGAACACTCCAAGTCTCATTCACCCAGGCATTCAAGTATAAAGGAATCCTGCTGCTTCTACAAACAAACAACTCCTCACATTTTCTCACCATTTGTTTAGTCAGCAAATAGTTTTTGAATGGAACATTTCTTTGTTGCTTGTTTATTTTTTCCCCCATTCACTTCAGAAAAAAACAAACAAACTTTGGGGGAATTTGGTTCAGTGAATTGTTTTTACAAAGGTCTGCCTAGAGAAAAACAAACATATGTACAAATATAAAATCACCTACAGAGAATTCAGATTAAATATAGTAAAGAGGCTTTTAAAAGCTCAGGTTTTGACCATATGTAATAAATATGTATATTCAATTGACATATGAGCATAAATTTTTATGATGTGTTACCTAATGAGACATAAACATATTTGTAAGCAACTTGCTTGCCAATTTTGCCTTATGTGTTTTGTATATCAGTTCACATCAAACTGGGGGGTGGGGGGGAGTATAGTAGATACAATAGCAATGGAGCAATTGGAAATTATAGAAATTACCAATGTTTTCCAGGGATCCAGAGTGCTTATGTCTCCTGATAATTATCTGGAGGAAGGTGAGGATTTTCTTTATGATTTGATACCCAATTTGTAGATCTGACAAAAGCAATTTTTCTTACCAGGTGGAGAACAGCCAATCCAAATTCTTCTAAACCTCTTTCATAATCTTATGAAAAATTCTGGGAGCAAAGCTGCACAGGAGTAAGAGATATGACTAAACAGGGTGAGTAGTAGCTGAGACCTGAATGAGTGTGCAGCCAGCCTCCTCCCCAGGAAGGCTGAGAGGAGAAGGTGTCAGGGGAGTGGAAGAAAGATTAAGAGAATGAGTTGGGGATGCATTTGCCTGGTTCTGTCTAAAGTTCTCTGAGAGTAACAATACCACAGACAATGTCTATTTGGCCAGAATAAGTGTGGCTGTCTGCATAGCACTACTTGGCACCTTGGGCTATGTAATTTACTCATATGGATCAGTGTGCACCACCAGGAAGAGAGTAATTCATTCTAGCTCACCGGAGGGTTAAGTAATGCTTTTCTTCACTTATAAGCAATTCCAGGGAGTCTATAAACGAACATTATCCCATGACTGAGAAAGTGCATGACACCCAGAAAGTGAAAGTTATTACAGGAGGAGCACGGGCTATTTCAATTATTTAAGGCCAGTGAACTTCACAAATCACTCTCTAAATCAGATTTTCTCAACCCAGGGAGCTCCTTTGTATTCATTTTTCCACCTTTTGAAGCAGTGTTAGTTTTTTGCGTGTTTTTTCCAGATTGCTTTTTGAATGCTGAAATAAAAAAGCATTTCAAAACAGTACTCTGCAAGTATAAAGTGGCAAACTATTATACTAAACTGAAAAACAAAGTACTTTTGAAATTAGTGACATTTAAAAGCAATAAATAGTTCAAAGCACTGGAAATGTGAATATCTACTTTTAAGATTTATTTTAAAATCATTTAAAATTAATTACTTTAAATAATCATCCCTTTGAACCCAAATTTGATAGTAATTTTACCTCAATTAATAAAACACTGTACACAAAATCTATATCTTTTAATATAACCATAAAACAGGGTAAGCTATTATTTTGATGGTGGGTTCACTCACCCATGTAACCAAATATTAACCTGCTGGTTCAGTCATATTACACATCTTAGGTCTCTTACCTCGAACAGTCAAGGTGGCAGAGGCTTCCACTTTTCCAACCCGATTCTCAGCAATGCACATGTAAGTGCCTTCATCTATACTCAAGGCCTTTTTAATTCTCAGTGTGTAATCATCTTTGATGTCATATCTGCGTAGAATATAAATTGATTTTATTAAATAGCTTTGGCTATATTTAGATACAGTTTATTTCTCTATTCTATTTTGCCTGAAACAAAACAAAGCGCGCATGCACACACACACACACACACACACACACACACACACACACACCCCATTCAGTCATACAGTGTAATGCTTAGATTAAAGGTATTGCAAATACAATCATTAATTTCATATCTGATCTTCAGGTGTTTGATTATTAATTATCTTTTGTATACCTTGTGTACATTTTTATAGATGTACATAACTCTTGGCCACATCTAATGTGTTTGAAAAACTGGAAAAGATTTATTCACAAAGATAAATGCACACATATGTTCATTGAAACATCATCCACAGTGACCAAGACATGGAGACAACTAAAGTGTCCTTCAATAGAGGATTGGATAAATAGATGTGGTCCATATATACTATGGAATACTATTCAGCCATAATAAAAGATGAAATACTGCCATTTGCAACAACATGGATGGACCTTGAGAATATTATGCTAAGGAAGTAAGTCAGACAGGAAAACCTAAGAACCAAATGATTTCACTCATAGTGAAGGTATAAAACTGAAACTCATAGACACAAACAACAGTATGGTGGCTACCAGACAGAAGGGAATGGGGAGATAGTAAAGGGTAAAAGGGGCAAACTATATGGTGATGAAAGATGATTTGACTTTGGATGGTGGGCACACTGCAATATACAGATCTTACGTTATAGAAATATGCACTTGAAACCAATATGATCCTTTTAACCAATGGCATCCCAATAAGTTTTGAAAAAAGAAAAAACCACAAAAATATTAAATGTTTAATTAATAAGAAGAAATAAAATTATTATTAAATGTTAAAATAACAACAACAAATTATCAATGCATTACCAGCACTTTTTGGTTACTCTTAGATAGCTAATAGTTCATATTTGAGTTTCTTGGTGAGTTATATCCTATCATTTTATAGCTTACACTGCTTTCAAACTAAGATTGTTGTCTTGAGTTGCAAAGACAAACAAACAAACAAACTGTGACAGTGTTTCTGTGACAAGGACATTTATTTTTCTAACACAGAGCAATGCACCCCTCCCAGCTGCCGTGTGTGTTTACTGTTCTAATTGCATGTGCACTGGGCAGGTGTGCATTTCTCTATTTAGTGTTCAGAGTTCAAAAACCCCAGAAAAAAACCTGCATCAATATTTTTTTCAATATGAATCTAAAACCAAGTGTAATCCTTAGAGGTTCATAATGTGTTAACTAACACAGACACATTTTAAAATTATTATGTTATTGAATAATCTAATGTACTTAAACTTTGCCTTGATTTGCTCTTATACTGCTTTTACATAGTTGAGAATGAATTTTAAGTAACTGGATTCTATTTCAGTAGAAAACAGCTACTTTTTACACATAGTATAATGTTATATATGTTCAACATGTAGGAGGTATCATCTGACTTTAATTAAAAATAGGAGAACATTAAATAAATGAAAAAACATTACTAGTGAGGAAACCCTAATAGAAACGGGATGATTTTGATTGTGAAATCTGCCAGTCTCAGATTTGTATAACTGCAGTCATTGTTGCCGGGTTTGATTAATAACAGTTGTACAATCATGTGCTGACAGTCCCCACCATAAAGATACCTTTTTTTCCTGATATGAAACACTGCTGAAAAATGCAACCCAATCAGATTTGGCCGCTGGACAACATGTGCCATCATCACTGTACCGTAAATGGAGATTGATTGGTTACCATCTGTGACAAAGTGGGAAAAGAAGCTCCGCTTTTGTGTTGCACCCCCCGCCCCAATGGAAAAAAAGAAAAAAGAAAACTGAATTGTGTAAAAAGCATTACCATCTGTTGTTCAGCTAAATAATAAACAAAACAAGTCAAAATAAATTTATTTTAATACTTAAAACAACACTTTGTATGCAAGTTTCTATTTGTGTGTGATTTTCTTAAAAGTGTTTCAAAAGAACATATTACTTATTTGTAAAAAAAATAGAGTACTGCATTTTAAAATACTTACAAATTGAAACTAAATAATCTATTTTAATTCTTCCTCTTAAAGAAATTTTCTCTTTCGGGAATGTTTGTTATAAATCTAAATTTATTTTGAAAATATCACACAAGATTTGAAAAATGGTAAAATTTTATAACATAACCGCATTTCATACATTTCTCTCACTTTGCAATCCATAATGCTCATTCAACTTCTAGAGTAGAAACTTCTCATGATTTCCTAGCTTTTGTGGATATAATTTGGGGACTTCTCCCTCCAAGTTTTTCACAGTGGCTTTAGATTTTTTTTGGGGGGGAGGGGCAAAAATAGACTACAAATTCTGTTAGAAAGTGAAATTTTACCATGCTCAGTTCAAGCCTGTATATCTCAATGCTTTATTTGGATTCCATGAGAGCTCCACACTAATGAAACTCCCTGAATGGCCGTTTTTATCTCAAAAGCACCTTTGTTTTTCATGAAAGTAAATTTATTTTCTCAACATTTTTAGTTTTTGAAATCACCTACTACTTCTTGCTATAAGATGTCTGACTCCAATTCTAAAACAGGTGTTTTAACTTAGCACTTAAAATGTTATTGCCTATCTGCTCTATTAATCATTAAGTTGGCCAACAGGAAAATAAGTATGAATTTAACCAGGAAATATTTAATGTCTATGCAAGTAAATGTGTCTTTTTTTAAGGGAGACTTGAGAAGTTTGTTTTAATTTTCAAAAGACGTGCAGTCAAATCTAAGCAGCTGAAGATCACCTTCTACCTTTTAGACTCTTTCAGACAATAAATATTATAGGCATTACATAGGACCATAATTCAATAAAAAGTTAACTGTGAAGCTTTATATGAAAAGGTCACCATGTTTATTGCCTATCTTATAAAGAGTAACTTTAGGATAAAAATCATATATTAATTTTATAAAATCATTCATTGATAACTGAAGACACACCCTTAATCTAATGGAGGCCATGGTGTGGATTACAGTAGATATGGAGATGCATCCATTTAGAAGTCAGTGATGACATATTTCTATTAGTCAAAAAAGTCCATGTTTAGAATTCACAACTTTGAATCAAGGTTCACTTCTACATAACATAAACGTTCTTGGAGAAATTTAAACCTTTTGACTTTTTTCAGTCTCGACAGCTGAAAATAGGAAAAAGTTGTCTATGTTCCTGAAACAATTTTTCTGCTCACAGTTTTTCAATCAAAATCTTTCAACAAACAATATTTGTTACTAAAACTCATGTAAGTGCTTCTTGGCAACCTAAATATTAGGTGATACTTTTTAATCTTTAATATTTAAGTTATATCCTAAAGTTAAGCTCTTAAATCAATTGAGGTCTGGGATCTTCAAATACACAAAACCAACCATTAGTGTTTTGCTGGCAAAGGAATCCTGAGTCAAGTTTACTATACATTGTATCCAACATGAGTCATATTCTTTTTTAAATTTATGGTTATAATGCAGGTTAGTGTTTACCATTTGGGTAAAGAAATCTCTACTTATTCTTTCAGTTAGGTCACAAGCATTTCTGGGCAGGGCAACTAAGAGCAATATAAAAAAACAGATATCCCCTTAAAAATGAAAATTAATGTAATGTTCATTGGGAAAAAAGCTAACAAAAATCTTGGGAGAGATGTGTATAGAAATAACAAGAGGCAAGGTTGTATTTGAAAAGAACTTGCTATTATATTCTGAAAGCCTCTACTGTAAGCCAAAGTGCACCTTGATGATTCTCTGACTGCTTTAAAAAAGCAAACTACTCCTCATAATTCTCATTGAGTTGTATGTGTCATTCAGATGCTTGCATATTCTTATAACCATTATTCTGAATTCTTTCTTTGACAAATTACTTGCTTCTATTTCATTTAATCTCTTTTTCTGGTGTTTCCTCTTTTTCTTTCTTTTAGTTCTCATATCTTTCCTTACATGTTATCCTGCTGCCTCCAATCCCTGATAGCCTGACCCATAGACAGAAAACTCCTGTACTAGACCTCTCTTCAGCACAACTGAGGGAGCAGGACATTTTCCAACTAAAGAGCTAAGATAAAACAAATAAGCAAAAAAAGATGTTTTAAAACACCCACAATTGGATAACAATTGTTGACATAATGATGTGCAGATTTGAGATCACTAGGTAGTTAGGTCCAATAACAGCCAGACAGAAAGACACCTACCACCTTGCAACCAGAGCTTGTCTTTGGAATCTGAGAAATTAAACCAAATTGTGAAGGTTAAATCAACTTGCATGTGAAGCACTTATAGGTATTAGCTATTTCTTCCATAGTTAATCGATTTTAAGATATATATGGTTCATATTTCAAAATCTCTGAAATTAGAAATCATTCTCCATAGATGGCATATCAGAGTTGATTTGCCATTTTTTTTTCTCCTTAACCATGAGAAAACATACTGTAGGATTTCACAAAGAACTGTGAATTGAATTGGATTCAGTGACACAATATTATTATATGTTTAAAAATAATTAGGCTAAACAAATCTTGTATTTCTCTCTTTATTAAATACACCTTTCATTCAGGCACTTAAATGATAAACTTCAGTATTACTGTTAACCTCTTTTTTTCATATCAACCCTGATATGCAATCAATTTCCACCTACACAATAAAGCTTTCCTTTGTACTGCCACTTGAATTACTAAGCATGATTGTATAATCACAGAAAATATTCCAATGTCATTCCCTAACTACCTTTTAAGTAACTTTCTAATATGTATATCTATCTCCAAACTGTCTCTACTCCAACTTACCCTATATGTAAAAATGAGATCCAATTTTCTAAACATAGAGGCAAAAATACATTTCTATTCAATGTGCTTCTTGAATTCTCATTTCATAGTGTGTTCAGTGTAAACACTTGGAATTAGCGGCTTTCAAAATAAAGCCTCAGCTACCCTTGCTGCTCTTAAGTGCCACTCCACTACAGCAAAGGCAAACAGGAATACTG